GTACTAAAGGTGCTGAATAATCATAGGACTGGAAGGAACCTGGAGAGGTCATCTAGTCCAGTCCCTTGCACTCATAGTAGGACTAAGTATTAACTAGACCATTCCTGACAGGTGTTTGTCTAATCTGCTCTTAACAATCTCCAGTGATGGAGATTCAACAACCTCCCTAGGCAATTTATTCCATTGCTTAATCACCCTGACAGTTAGGAAGTTTTTCCTAATGTCCAACCTAAACCTCCCTTGCTGCTATTTAAACACATTGCTGCTTGTCCTATCCTCAGAGGGGAAGAAAAACAATTTTTCTCCCTCCTCCTTGTAACAACCTTTTATGTACTTGAAAACTGTTATCATGTCCCCCCTCGGTTTTCTCTTTTCCAGACTAAACAAACCCAATTTTTTCAATCTTCCCTCATAGGTCATGTTTTCTAGACTTTTAATCATTTTTGTTGCTCTCCTTTGGACTCTCTCCAATTTGTCCACATCCTTCCTGAAATGTGGTGCCTACAATACTGGACACCAATACGCCAGTTGAGGCCTGATCAGCACGGAGTAGAGCGGAAGAATTACTTCTCGTGTCTTGCTTAGAACACTCCTGCTAATACATTCCAGAATAATGTTCGCTTTTTTTGCAACAGCTGTACACTGTTGACTCGTATTTAGCTTGTGGTCCACTATGACCCCCAGATCTCTTTCCGCAGTACTCCTTCCTAGGCAGTCATTTCCCATTTTGTATGTGTGCAACCGATTGTTCCTTCCTAAATGGAGTACTTTGCATTTGTCCTTATTGAATTTCATCCTATTTACTTCAGACGAGTTTGTCCAGATCATTTTGAATTTTAATCTTATCCTCCAAAGCGCTTGCAACCCCTCCCAGTTTGGTATCGTCCGCAAACTTTATAAGTGTACTCTCTACGCCATTATCTAAATCATTGATGAAGATATTGAACAGAACCGGACCCAGAAATGATCCTTGCAGAACCCCACTCGTTGTGTCCTTCCAGCATGACTGTGAACCACTGATAACTACTATCTGAGAATGGTTTTCCAACCAGTTTTTCACCCACCTTATAGTAGCTATATCTAGGTTGCATTTCCCTAGTTTGTTCATGAGAAGGTCATGTAAGGCTGTATCAAAAGCTTACTAAAGTCAAAATATACCACGTCTACCACTTCTCCCCCCCACCCCACCCCATCTACAAGGCTTGTTACCCTGTCAAAAAAAGCTATCAGGTAGGTTTGACACAATTTGTTCTTGACAAATTCATACTGATTGTTCCTTATCACCGTATTATCTTCTAGATGTTTGCAAATTGATTTCTTAATTATTTGCTCCATTATCTTTCTGGGTACAGAAGTTAAGCTGACTGGTCTGTAATTCCCTGGGTTGTCCTTATTTCCCTTTTTAAAAAAAAAAAAAAAATCTAATTGTAATATATCTGTGTTTATAGGTTTTACCTGCGCTCTACAGAAAGAAATTCTGTACCAAGGAAAGTTATTTATATCTGAAAACTGGATTTGTTTCCATTCCAAGGTCTTTGGTAAAGACACCAAGGTTAGTAGCGTCTCTGTGTACAAAAAGCAATGTAATTCTCTGGGATCTTGGTGATTTCTAGAAATTCCCGCTCTTCTAATATGCACGAGTGGTGTTAAGCCTCTTATCATCTTGCTTAAGCATTACTGAACACTAACAACTATATTGCAGTAATGCCCAAAAGCACCAGTCAGCCAGTGTGCTGTGCGCAGTCTCAAAAGCCCAAAGATGAAGTGGGAAAGGAGAAGAAGAGAAGGCATTCAATATGTAGTGATCAGAGTACTGACAAGCCCACATCATGTTAGTTCCAGGTCTGAATTTTTTTAATGTTTGTTTATAATTGTTACTTGCACTACAAAATCTAGAGGTGTTGCGGGGGACACTCTGGGTAGAAGTGGAAGATAGGAAAGAAATAGAAGGGGGAAGGAGGAGACAAAGCTGAGAAGCACAATGGACAGAGAGAGTGTGGTTTGGGAGTTGAGGAGGTGTGGAAAGGTCGGGGAAACACATTCTCCCAACCATTGCTGTTACTCCCTATGTGGAGTGGCGAAGGGAGGCCACTGGACCCAGTGCTCTGTATTCTTGCCTGTGGGCCTGCTGGGAAGGGCAGAGGTGGGTTGTGGAAGTACAGACTTACCCCTGTACTGCCTGTTTGGGGAAAGAGTTATGAGAGACTTTCATGTTTGACGTTCATCTAGTTGTTGTTTGTTGTATCATGGTGTGATGGCTCCAAGTAAGTCTTGGGCCCCATTGTAGTAGGCACTGTACGTATGGACAACAAGAGATGATCCCTGCCTGAAGAGATTTCTGTTTTCAACATAAATTTTGCCCTGACTTCTAGTCCTTGGGATCCCACTGAAACAAATCAGTGTAGCTGAGTTTTGGGCGGTTCTTTTTAGTGGGAATATTGTGCCCTGAACGTGTAAAATATTTGTACGTTTCCTTGAATGAGAATAAGATTTAGATGCACACCCTTTCCTCCTTCTATAATTACTAGGGTGCTGATGCCATACCTTTTGACTTAGTTAGAGAAACAGATTAAAAAGTTATCTGACCTGATTTCCTTCCTGGGCTAAGGCCTTAATAGGACACCTGATATTTGGAGGAATTTTTTTAAGAATGTAAAATAGATTTAAAGAATGATTAATGATAAATTGTTGTTCATAATAGTCGCTTATTGCATTTGCAAGGTGTACTATTACATGACTCACGTAACTGAGTTATTGTTTGTTTGTGAATTAATAGATTCAGGTATCTAAAAGGGTGTCATAAGGAGGAGGGAGAAAACTTGTTCACCTTAGCCTCTAAGGATAGAACAAGAAGCAATGGGCTTAAACTGCAGCAAGGGAGGTCTAGGTTGGACATTAGGAAAAAGTTCCTAACTGTCAGGGTGGTTAAACACTGGAATAAATTGCCTAGGGAGGTTGTGGAATCTCCATCTCTGGAGATATTTAAGAGTAGGTTAGATAAATGTCTATCAGGGATGGTCTAGACAGTATTTGGTCCTGCCATGCGGGCAGGGGACTGGACTCGATGACCTCTCGAGGTCCCTTCTAGTCCTAGAATCTATGAATTACTCATAGTTATTTTTTGACATGAATGGGGAAATGGCACAAGTGTTTAATAACAGCCATATAGAACAAATAAGGAAGCTGAAATTAACAAAAGGATCATGTTGTGCCACCCTTGCTCATTGAGTACAACCTTCCTTGGCAAGTAGTTCCATTGAAATTAATGAGACTACTTGTAGAGTAAGCTGATACTCAGCACAAGTAAAAGTGGCAGATTTTGGCCCAAACTGAAGTTCAGCTTTGAAGTATGCAAGCTAACATACATGAGGAAATTTAATCCGACACACTCTCACTCAATGGGAGGGATAAACCTGGGAAGTCAGTAATGTGGAAAGAGACTTAGGAATTAGACATTTAGCTATGTGTTATGATTTCAAAATACATCCGTATAGTTTTTGGGCTGCATATGGTACACAAAAACATCCCATCATAGTGCAAGGGGCTACGGTCTCTCTATATATGACTGTGATACAACTGCACCTAGGTTACCTGTTGGAAAGATATTGAGAAATTGAAGGGATTCAGAGAAGAGTAACAATGCTTGCCACTTCTGGGCTGTGCAGCAACCACAAATGTTCCCAAGAGTGAATCACACTTCTGAATCACAATATCGGTTTATGCTGCATAGTTGTTTTTGTTTGTTTCCAAGTTGCCCATAGTTTCAGTCCTCTGGACAGTGAGTATTGTAGATGGATAGCACAGATGGGTAGAAGTGAAATGGTCTTACAGTGATTCTCCCTGGTAAACAATTGCTGGCATAAGAGTGTAGGAAATGGGTTATCCATCCCACTTACATTATTTTTCCTCTTTTTGAACTAGGATATCACAATTAATATCGGTCATCAAAATAGTATGAAGCAGAAACTTCATTAAACTTTAATGCAGTCGGGATGACTCTATTTGATGAAGTTTGCAGAATCTTTTTAATTGACCTATTTCTATTTAAATATCTTTATTTAATAATGCTGACAGTAAGAGTCATTTTCCAGAAAAAAATTACAAACAAAGCCCTGTTAAGAAATTCTTACCATCTAACTACACAACATATGATACAAACAAAGGGGAAAGGCATAGGTGCTGGAACTAGGGGTGCTGTGGGTGCTTCTGCATCCCCTGGCTTGAAGTGGTTTCCATCATATACAGGGTTTACAGTTTGGTTCAATGGCTCTCAGCATCCCCCCCCACACCTTACAAATTGTTCTAGCACCCCTGAGGAAAGGTAAAGAAAGCAGGTTGAGGTAAGCAGGCTATTTTCAGTAGAGATTTAAAGAAGTGGGTTAGAGGCATTCCGGTCATGACGTGAAAACAGCATAGTAAGCAGGCCAAGTAGAAGTTCAGGGTGTGTGTGTGTAATAATATATAATACACACACACACACACACACACACACACACACACACACACACACACAATTGAGAACTGGAGATGGGCCAGAGTTGCAAATTTTGGATCCAAGTCTCCCAAAAACCTCAGGGGTGTTTTGAACTTGAAGCTTTGATTCAGGCCCATCTTTTTATCAAGAAACTTATTAGCAATGGCTTTTGATCAAAGTGGCCTTGACCTCTTCTCTAGCCTTTAGGGTGAAGGTAGAATATCCATTTGGTTAGCCATCCCTAAAATGGTGAATGACAAAATGTCATACCCAGGCTAAACATAAGCAAAAGCATTGGTGATGATAGGAGGGTTAGCCAAAACATAATGAGACCATTTCATGTCTCAGTGCTGCTTTCCTTAGCTTCTGTTTATGAAGAGTCTCTAACAACTAAAAGGTGATAGGAGACTTTTTATTTATGGAATAATCTATTTCAATTTATTATAATTCTTAGTCTGCAGTACTACATGCTTTCAATTCAGTGCTATGAAAGGTCACTTATTAACCAAATTTTAGACACATTCCCCTCTCTCCTAATCTCTCGCATGTCTTAGTGTCTCTGGACTCTGCATCAGTCAGAAATGTAAATAACAGAAATTCTAACAGGGTGACCATTCCATCCTCTGTATAGCCTGAAGTGTCACATCTGCCTGTCTTGCTGCCAGTCTTTTATTGGAAACAGAGCCTGCCCTTCATGCTCTCTCTAGTAATATGGGATTTTGAAGTGGGACCAATACCAAACTCCTGAACTAAAACACCCTGAAACTTGAGAGAGTCCTTGTTAGAAACCAAACTTTGTGATCAAGCATATGATCTCACTAATGAAGGCAAGAAGGAAAAGTATTGAAAGTATTGATTTATGTAAAGTATAGTTTGCAGGTGTATTTGCAAAAAGGCTGGACAGCATACATGGAGATGTTTATATTTAGCATGAGTGGGCTAAATCCTTTTAGTTATGCTGAAAGATCTGAACTGTTTACTCAGCTGCTTGCCACAAACTTTGAAATATGTTGATTCTTTGACCTGTATCTCCTGTAAGCTATGTTCTGGAATGTTTCTTCTCCTAAATAGTCTGCTATGGGACCTTGCTTCTTTTACACTATTTGCTGACCAGATATTCTTCAAAATTAGAATAAATTCAGATCTCTTCTGAAAATTCTAGACCCCAGAAATGGGGAGGGGGAAATTGCTTTTATTTCTTACATGCTTCTCAAACTTTTGTTAGTGTAAAACATAGCTGATGAATTAACATTTAGACTTGAGTGAAAGCAAAAAATAGAGTTCCTTACATCAACCCACACCTATTGTGTGTAACTATCAAAATGGGGCTCTGGAAAAGATGAAGTAGTGTTTCAGCATACTTGATCTATGTTAGTGGATTGGTTTTCACACAAACTGCTATTTGTATATAACCAATAAGGTGATTGAAGTATTATATTATTTTGGCACTCTAACAACATGATGATTTCATTTCAGATTAGTATTCCTGTGCTCTCGGTAAAACTAATAAAGAAAACCAAAACTGCCCTTCTGGTGCCAAATGCTCTGGTCATAGCAACAGTCACTGACCGGGTAAGTGTAGAGTTATCTTTGACCTCTCTTGCTTTCTTCTCTCCTTACTCCTAGAATTTGTCATGGTGGAATCTTGAGGGAGCAGGTGGCTGTTCAGAATATCGAGGCACAGACTAGTCCCATGTGGCCATTTTAGGGTCACAAAACCAAGCCCTATAGGATTTGACCAACTCTATGGCCTGAAGCACCCCTCTGAGGGGATCTTTTCTTTGCCTGTCCTGTGGGAAAGGGGTTCTTCAATCTTCCAGAGTACCATATTTCCCCTGGGACTCACAGAAGATGCAACTCTGCAGGGTATTGAGAGAGGAGGGGGGTATAGAGAAGCAGGGCACCAGCAGCTCTACATGGACCTACAAACGTCCCAGATTACTACCTGGCAATCCAGGATGGAACTAAAACAGCTGAGGAAATTAATCTATTTTGGGAGCCCTTTATGCAACTGCAGGGAGTCCTATCTAGTGGCAGCAGGGCTTGAGGGAAAAGTATCATCTACTGGATCAGCAGCCCCACCTCCTACAGCACCTTTGGCTCTGCTTGGTGATCTCCAGTCCAACCAGTAACAATCTAATTTAGTTCAGTTACAACATAATAGCAGCCCATGTTGGTATTCAGGATTGTGTTTTTTTTTGTTTTTGTTTTTTTCAAAAAAACCTGAGAACTCCTACAATATCTATGCATTGGAAGGGGTCTGATTTTCAATATAATTTGACCAGGGACGGGAGGGTAAGGCAAGTTGATTTTTTTTTTTTCCACCCAGAATTTGAGTGGGATGAGGAAAATATACTGCACCTAGTCTTTTAGTTCTTACCCAGCAAAACTTCTGAGTTTTACCTGGGTGTAGACTGCAGGCTTTGGCAAATTATGATAGGCCTAGTCCACATTTCTTTGTAAAACTCTTAAACTGTGTTCTTTACTTCATATCTTCTAGGCCTTTCTTTACTATCTGCAGGCCTTTGAAAGTAATTGCTGAACCAGCAAGTGCACCCTGTTAATAACTGATGAGATGAAACTTGTGAAAAATCTTTTTTCAAACAATAATTATGTAAATTATTACTTTTGTCTTTCAGTTCATATTTGTCTCCTTGCTCTCCAGAGACACAACCTACAAGCTATTAAAATCTGTCTGTAGCCACTTAGAGGTAAGTATTGACAGAGTGAAGTTGTGAAGTTCAGTTATGTTCTTTATGACTGCTTTTTATTTTAAAGATTAGCAATTAAATAACAATTTTTTTTTATTTAAAAATTGGCTTTCAGGATATAAGTGTTGGCAACAGTCCCAATCCTTCTTCCGCCGAAAACAGCTTCAGGGCCGATCACCCTATGACCCTGCCTTTGGTAAGATGGTTTATTTTGCTTTTGATAAAGTTCCATTTGTTAAAGTCCAAATTGTCCAAACTCTTCTATTGTCTCAAACTGAAGGAAAGCTTGACACACACACATTCTGTCATCTCAGAAATCTCTGAATGAACTGCAAGTGGTTGGTGATACCAGCATAGATGTAATCTTCTCTCCACAAGAATGATACATGAATAGATGTGATGTCTGTATATGTGCTCTGAGTATATAACAATGCCCGTTATTAAGGTCTGTATGTGGGCTGTGCACTGACTTGCATTTTTCTTCCTTTCCATATGCCTGTATTTCCAGCAGTCAGTCTTTCACTATGCTCTGTGCTAATTTAGATTTGCAGTAAGTGGCTTTCCTTGTCATTGAAGGCAGAATAACAGGCTTCTCAAAGCTTCCCCTTGCAAACTTTCCCCTACATGCCAGGTCAATTCATTGGTCTGAAGAAAAGCTGCTGTTCAGTAGCTGACATACGCTGTAATCAATGACCAAATAGTTCAAGCTACAGCTATACTAAATTCTTCATCTATAGAGTGACACCTTTCAATTTCTGCTGCTCTGGTTACAGATTTCAGATGCAAGTGACCCAAAGTAGCGGAGTAAAAACAAATAATCTTCATAATGTTAGGCCTTGCATGGTCTTTTCCATTACTTTTTGTCCCTTCAGGATTTCAGTGAAGACTTCTCAGATTTGGATGGTATAGTGCACCATCGGAGACAAGAGTTGGAAGAGTCTAGCAGTACTGGCTCTCAGACCCCTGAATCGGAACACTTCCAAGGTCAGCATAATCTTGATATTTTAAGACTGAAAGTATTTAGAGCAGTGTTTTCCAAAGTGTGGGGTATACTCTCTGAAGGATAGGTGACATGAAAGGTTACCTTGAGAGTACAGATGGACGTCTCAATTGTTTTCCAGAGTCTCAGCTTTGATTTAAAAAAAAATGCCTAGCTATTATGGGTTGTGGAGAAAACCTTCAGAACATAATCTAAGTGTAACCAAGGCAAAGACATCTGCCAGAGTCTGCTGGCAGCCTGAAGCAATGGTTCTGAGGTGTGAACTGAGCCATTCATTTCAATGGGTGCTAAATCAGATGCTAATAACTATGCTTTAGAGATCAACTTTCCCCATCAAAGCATTTAGGAATGGAGGGGAAGTATCATACTATGAAGATCTACATCATGTTTCCGCAAAGTGTGGTTTGGGTGAAGGAGAGGAAAGAACAGAAGATAGATATATTAAGATGTGTAGGCCTTTAATGTTACATCCAGCTTCCAGCCATTGGGGGGTGTTATGTCTTTGCTAGTTTAGAGTGCTCTCTACCATCAAAAACTTTCTTTGCATATAGGTACTTATAAGTACCCCTTAACCTTCTTTTAAATATGCTAATAGGTCAAGCTGCTTTACTCTTGCTTCAGGCATATTTTCCACACCTTGAATCATTCTTGTAGCTCTTTTCTGAATCCATTCCAATCTTTTAACCTTCTTTTAGAGGTCGGAACACCAGAACTGAACCTGGTAGTCTAGCAAGAGGAAGCATGATCCAGTTTAAGGTGCTAGACTGGAATTTGGATTCAGTTCCCTGCTCTGCCTCAGACTTCCTGTGGGACCTTTGACTTTGTTCCCCAGTTCTCTATCTGCAAAATGGGGTAGTAGTGCTTCTCACAGGGATGTTGTGAAAATAAATACATTAAAGAATGAGGCACTCATTTACTATGGTAATGGGACCTATATAACCACCTTAGATAGACAGTAATGGTCTAAGCAATACCCTATACAGAGATAAGGCCACTTCCCTATTTCTACTTGGTATTCCTATTTGTTAGGCTTCTCAGGGTATGTCTACACTCCAGCTGGGAGCATTCTTCCCAGGGCGAGTAGACAAGACATGCATTAGCTCTACTCAGTCAAGCATTCTAAAAATAGCTGTGTAGCTGTGATAGCACAGGCAGTGGCTCAGGCTAGCCACCTAAGTACAAACTTACCTGGACCCCTTGGGTAGGTATTCGGGCACCTAGTCTAAGCTGTCACCCATACTACCCCCAGCTATGTAGATATTTCTAGCACACTTGCTCAATCAGAGCTAACGTGTCTATCTACTCACACTAGAAAGCAAAGCACTTACATTGCAAGTCTTTTTGTACAGGGCCAGCCCTATGTTTTCTGTCGCCCAGGCACAAAATATTTTTGGTGCCCCCAAACATGGTGACTTGCCACACCTCAATGTTGGCACTCAGGGCAGCCATCCTGGTCTCCTGTCCTGAGTCTGGGTTTGTCTTTGCAAAGTTGAGGGCATTAAATTCTGTTTCTAGGATCAGGTATCTAATTTCCTTTTCCCTTAGAGTGACTGGGGTGATTTGTATATGTCTTTGTACCGGAAACCAGATTAAGTTCACAAAATATTGTCTACTGCATTAATTTTCAGTTTTATATGTCAAGTAGCAATGTAACTTCCTCCTTCTCTGCTGACCCATTCCTAATATGAACAGCTGAATTCCTGCTTTATTAGGGTTACCATATTTTAAAAATAAAAAAAGAGGACCCTCCACAGGCCCTGGCCCCGCCCATTTCCCCACCCCCAGCCCCGCCCTAACTCCGCCCCCTCCTCCCTCCCACTCCCAGCCACGGGGAAAGGGCTGCCCCAGCGCTACTGGCTTCAGGGTTTGCCGGGCAGCCCCCAGACCCTGCGCCCCCGGCCGGCGCTTGCCCAGCGCAGCTGGAGCCCGGGAGGGGAAGCGCCCAGCCGGGGGCGCAGGGTCTGGAGGCTGCCCGGCAAACGGTGAAGCCGGTAGCGCTTGGGCTTCGGGCAGCCC